GAAAAATGGGAAGAAAAAGGAATAATATGAACATTTTCTTGTTTTTCTCTCTTTAGCTAGCTTTTCTTGATCAGCTGCTTGTGTGTCATAAAATACATTATCTGTATATTTTCTTGATGCCTATAATACTATAATGTGAGGGAAGGTACAGCAATAACAGTAGAGTAGCAAAGTCCCATGCTGGAGCAACTGAGGACAAGCCCAAATACAGTAGCTGTAGATGCAAAAACAGAGAAATAAAATTTGCTTACCTCCAAAAAGCCTCAGGCATGCAGGGATTACCAGACAGATACCCTTGCTTCCACTGCCAGCCCTTAAATAAGGTCTGGGAAGGGTCAGATCCTGGCTCCACCCCTTCCAGTCACTCAGGTACACTGCATACACCTGAGCTTCCCTGGATTGGCCCTGCCCTACCACTAGGTGCTCAATCACCGCTTTGGGCTGTGACTCCACATTCCCGCTACAATGCCATTCAACTAACTTCTGCCACGTGACTATCAGACTTCTCAGCTCCTCATTCTTGCTTAATATACAGAGCAGACCTGGTTTTCAAAACTCCCAGTCACCTTTGTTTAGCTATAGTGTATACTTGTTCATATTTCTAGGGTCTGTCTAGGGTTTGTATCTGCTGATCAGTTCTTGTCCCAGACTAACTACAGACATGTTCTCCACCTTGTGCTCTTATGGTATTTCTCAATACTATGGCAGCCTGATTTTTGCATCTTTCATCAAAGAACCTAAGAAGTTTCTGCTTGACCCAAGTAAGTCAGCGACTTCGGTCTTTTCAGAGCTAAGATAAGAGAGGCTGAGAGGCCTTGTGTGAATTAAATAAGTTTTCTTAGGGTGAGTGGTACAGTTTAATGTAATGTATGTTTGCCCTGACTCCTGTTTCGCTTTTTTACTACCAGTTCAAGTTGCTTCCTACCAATCAATGTGCATAATTCTTTCCTTAGCTGTTTATTGATTTAGCCAATGAATTGAACAGAACTGTGCCACTCGTTGAAATCCTTATACATTATCTTTAAAAATAATCTAGATTTTTAACTGGGACACACTAGCACATTTGAATCACATTCAATTAGTGTAAACCAATTTACACCAGAGATTTTAAGATATGATAAATAAATGCAAAAATGCTCTTAGGAGTGATAATTCTGTTTCTTGGTTCACACAGTTCTTTCATAGTCCTAACTTTGACAAAATGCTAAGAGAAGCCAAATTAATTTTTGTTTTGTTCAATTTTTAAATTGGAATCTCTTTTCCTTCACAAATTGTCTGTTATTATTATTCATTATGTGTCTTTTGATGAAAAATGATACATGAAGAATGGTTTCTATTACTGAATTATTTTTGCACATCATGCTTAATTCTGCAAATGAAGCAGATAAAGTCAATGAGGCTCAGTTAAGGACCAAAACTAATTCTGAAAGCTAATTATTTTCACAAGGGAGACTCTTCAAGACTATAAATTAGAAGGTTGCTATTCTAAGATGTTACATCTTGAGCTGAGTTAGTTACATCTGAGTGAGAGGAACAGGAATGCTAACCTGTTCCCCAGTTGAACACCTAGCTGTTCAGTTAGAGTTATGTAGATATTCACTAAATAAATAGGCAAAAGTATTGTGACATTTCCTTATTTGCTTTTTGAACAAAAACGTTTCCATGGTGCCACTTTAAATGCAGACATCAAGGCAGGCAAAAGGCCCTGTTTTCTGCTGAAACCATCTTATTACTTCAGTAAGCGTAAGATCAGCCTTTGTGTGGAGAATTACTTCAAACATGTTTTGTTCAACACAACACATGAGAGTCAGAACTACACCTAGGTTAAAATCCACTCACCTGTGATCCTCTGAGCTAGAAACAGACTTGATAGAATAAGAATGGCAGAAATTTTGCTTCTCCAGTCTGAGCGTGTGTCTACACTTCATAGATCCTTCTGAGACTGTGTGAGGACCAGAAACAACATCAGCACCAACTTACTTGCTCTTGAGTACTGTGTCCAATCCCAATGTGAAGCTGGCCTTTTAACTGTGTGCACCTGCTCAAATAATGAATTTTATAAGCCAGATCAAATGGTTTATATTTCAGATTATTTCAGTTGTATGGAAATAAATTTATTATTTGCTCTTCTTTTTCTATATATGTATGTCTCATGGACAATCTTACTTCCCATAGAAAGGAAAATTAAAATATTGTACCAAATGAACAAACATTTTAAAAACATATCCAAATACACTTTTTCTTCCTAGTGTAAGGAAGGCATATGTCTGACTCTTAAAAGATTTTCCAGTGCTTTTTAAGGTCTTGGACTGTTATTCATTTTCAGATTTGTTCAGAATTCATAAAGACCCAATAAAAGTAAAAAGCTGCACTCTGAATTAAGCCAAGGAAATATGTGGTAGACTCTAAGCAACACGAAGGGTTGCTGCCTGTTTTGACTCTGCATATAGTCCTGTAACACTGACGGCAGAAATGCTGATGACTTAAGGCAGAAATCATCTTTTCCTGAGTTACATTTGTACAATGAGATCCTCATTTAGAACAAAGTAACAATGCAATACAATGAGAGTAAACTTCATTTGTGACTGTTTCACTCTTCCTTTATTCATTTTTCTTACTACTTCACTCTTACAACTTCTCTTTTTCCTATTAACTCTTACATCATATTACCAGCTGAGAACATTTGTTGGCCTTTGTCTTACACACTCAGCCTGCCAACCAGGAGGCTGCCACAGCACCCTGCAGCTATAGCATCCCTGTGGGTGCCACCATTCCATCCTCCTCATCCTGCTGTAGGACTCTTTAGCCAGGCCAGAAGAGGTCTTTTTACGCATTTCTACACATTACTGGTGCAAAACAAACTCACTGCCCCTTCTCATGCTGACTTTCTCTAGGTTCTATTCTTCTATTCCTTGCCCAAATTCCTGATGAGGCCTGTAGTAGGTAATAACACTTGCTAGCTGCGTTCTGTTATTCATCACATGTACAGACCTTCCTTTTTAGTTAGATTTCATGTGCCATTATGTACCTGGTTTACAGCATTCCATCTGCATCTGTTGCTCCAGTTTTAGAGATGAAGTGCTCTTTAGTTGTCAGTCTTGGTTATTAATATGCTCAAATTCTTAAAGAGGGATATAATTTGCTTCCCAGGCTTTCTTCACATACAGCACAGCTTTATGTCACCATCCCTGCTGCTCTGAGCTTACCAGATGGCTCTTTGTGAGCAGGTGGTATTTTTTCTTACTGTTGGAAGAAATATATTTACTCATTCTGGCATCCATGGGAAAAAAAAAAAAAAAAAAAAAAAAAAAGTAAACTTTAAAGAGATATATTAAAAATATAAATAAAATGCGTGTAAGAGTTATTGCCAAATTGATATTGGACCAAAGGCACCTATTCAAGTGATCAGCAGCCAAAAATGAAGTATAGAAGCCAAGAGAATTGAAAGAACCATTAAGAACATTAAAAAAATAGAAGCAGCAGATAAATCTCATACTGTGATGAATGATAGCCAAGGAACATCTAATCATATCAGGGTAGATTTACTGAAATAGCTCAACCAGACAAAAAGGATGGTTTAAAAAATATTGGAATGTTCTTTTTTTCTGACAATTTTTCATTAATCTTCAAGAAGGAATAAGGATTTATTTAAAACAAATTAAATTAAGTGTTGAGCATTACTGTACAATTCCTCTTTATCTTGGCATGGCTGTAAAAACACAGCATTCTCTGCAATTGCATAAGGGATGCAGGATGGAATTTTTTTGGCATTTTCCAGCCACTTCTCCCTCATACATCCACATGCAAAAGAGTGGGCATCATCCATTGGAAAATTGCTTACTGCTGTGAGAAAAAATGAAACATGAAACATCTAGAGAATCAACATACAGAAGACAAGGAAACTATCGGAAGTATGTCTATGGGTTTCCATTCCTTGATTAATCTATCAGGAATTTTGCTTTTAATAGCAATGCATCTGAAAATTCCTGGGCACAATTGAAAATTAAAATAGAGAAAGTAGCTATGTGTGCACGGTATGAGAAACTGATTTTAAAAAGCAGTGTATACCAACAGACTGGACCAAAGCTAGACTTCTGACTCTACAAATACAGGTTCCAGACAGTTTTATCTTAGCAAATGCTCATCTCTTCTGTTGCATACTTTAGGGTGGAATAACTTGCTTTGTTTTTCTGCTAGAGCTCTTCTTGTTTTCATCACAATTATAGAAAGAAAATTGAGGGAAATAAATGTTCTGTGGGAGTTTTCTTCCATGAAGTAGAGGATAAAAGCACATTCTCTCTGTGAATACCAGAAGAATAGATGTAATGTACATTTTGTGTAAGACAAATACACCTCATATTCAGTCAACAGCATAGACATTATCAGAGCTTCAAACTATTCCTGATATGTTTTTGGCATCAGAGACCAGCTGGCCTGAAACTTAGGGTTGAATGAAATTCAGTTTGTTTCTAGGACTTGAAATTCAGTGCAAGCTGGGTAAGAAACTAAACCCTTCATTTTGATCCAGGTGTGTTGGGAACGTGCTGTAAGAAACTAAAGCTGACCACTCAATATTTTCTTTGTTTTGAGCAGAGGTATGCTAACAATTGAAATGCTTATTTTTGCTATGTACTAATGTGGGATGGTCCTACAGGCACTCCATCTGGTGTAATGTTGTTTTGGGGCTCAATCTCTTTTTGCAGCTGGGCTGCTCCTAGAAGAGTGTGAGGGGAGAATTTGTTTGTATCAGTCATTGCTGGCCATCCACATAACACTCTGGCCATCGTACATGGAGATGTGTTCAGCGTTCATGAAACATCTTTTTATGAGGTGATAGGAATTTGTATTCAGAAAGTCCAGTGCCTTTGCAAAATCTTTGCTTAGCATATAGCTCCATTTCCTACTCACCTGTTAGCAATACAAGGTGACCATAAGGAAAAAAAAAAAAAAAGCATTTCTTATTTTCTTCTAACTTCCAGATTTCAGAAATACTGATCCAGAAACTGAACCAAAACTTCGTCCATTTTGAGTTGAAGCCAGGGGTTCGAGTCCTTGTCCATGCTGCCCATTTAACAGCAGGTGGGTGTCCTCTTTCTTAGTACACACTCGCTGTTGATAAGCAAGCAGAACTCAGCGTGTGAGCAGAATTAAAATGCCCACTCCAATCCTCTGTTCTTTGTCACATCAAAAAAGTATAGTGGCATTTATAAATTTATAAATAATAATTTATAAATAATTTATTTATAAATTTATAATGCCAGCAGTAGATGTATATACTTTTTGGCTGTCTTTGAAATATTCAACAGCTAAGGAGCACCATGGTATATTCAGCCTGGATCACAGAGTGCAAAGTTCACCAGCAAGTGCTGAACATTTTCTGATAATCTGGTGCAAATGAACAATCACAGCAGCAAAGCACAGTTAAAAAGCTGTTCAGCAGTCTGAAAGAGTCAATTTACATATGCACATACACACGCTTAGGCAGTTTGCCCTGTAACTAATCCTATCTCAAAATAAACCAGCTCTGAAGTCTTGATATTTAATTACACGTCTCTGCGTATTCTGTATAGAAAACCCTCATTTCACAGTACAGTTCCTATTTAATTATTGTAGGAGATGGGATGTATAAATCCATGCTCAGTATTTTAGGAATTCCTTTTCTGGTGGATTTGCTGGATAAAAATCATAATTCTGATCAACTTCGGCTGCTAACATGCAAATAAAAAGCCTCAGTTCACTCATACTAGTGATCTGCTCTACAAAATGCTGTTCGTGGTATGAACAGGTCTGGCCAAGGTGGTGTGAGTCCATGTGCTGCCCTGTCAACAAAAGGGAGGAAAAAGAGACTTTAAAAACAAGTGTGGTGTGACTGCATTTACATCCTCCTAGAAGAAAGCCTGGGTGTTAGCAATACTTTGTGTTTTCTAAGCTAATATCTGCGCTGGGAATATTGCTGCCTGTTTCTTCTTTCCTTTAGATGTGGAACATATGAGCGATGTTAGCTTTTAGACAAGTTAGAACCAAAGGCATAGAAAAGCAAAGATATAGCACAGCTGGTTAATCTCTTAAGAATATAATAATAATAAAAATAATAATAAACAAAAAAACATCTTGGACAGTCAGTTTGACTGTTCTCTATTTTATAGATTGTAAAAAAAATGTTCATAGACATATGACGTAAGAATTGTATAACTCTAATAACTCTATGTTTAAGATTTAAATCTGTACGCATTTTTTGGCCAATGAAGCAATCCTTGCCCTGAATGTTCTACACTGGCCAGTGATACAATATGTTCTTTCAGAAAATGTTCAGTGTTCATCTTGGAATTCCAGGAAAACTGTCTGAAAGCATCTGAATGTGAGCTTGCAACATGGAATTACCTGAAATTGCTCACTGTTTTTGTAATTTGTTCCTGTGTGTTTACTCTGCTTGTGCACATTGCTGTTTTGCTTTTTGACTGATGTTCATTAAAGTCAGGATCAAATCCCACATCAGCATTTAGAAATGACTCATCTAGCCCTGAAGATCCTATAAGCCTTTTCTAATAAATTGTAGTTGGAAAGAATTGCCTCAGATATACGTGGTTAAGGCTCCTCTTTACCTTCTGCTACTGCAGGGACATACTGCATTTCATGCAGTGGAAACATGATGCTTAAAATCATGTCTCCAGCCTCATCTTTCATACAGGGTGAATCTCATCCATTTGAATTTAATCCAAATTTTGTGCTGTGTGTAGGAGCCTTCTGCACCTCCTTGGAGAGGAATCTGCGATATCTCTGCTTGAGTGTGCAGAGTTGCCTAAAGCCTAGTCCAAAGCCAGTTAGCACAGGTACTGACAGCTTTTCTCCTGGGCTACAAAGCCTTGTGTTCTGCCCTGTATGAACCAAAAGGCAGGGTCTATAGTGTGGCACACTGCTCTACTGTGTAACAGAGACTGCTCAGTTTAGACGTGCTGCATAAATACAGGATCTTTGTGCTTGCTGAAAATGTATATCTGTATGTTTATGCACACACCAGGAATGAATACTTTTTGTCTGTAATAGATGCAAACAGTCATTTGTGCTGTCAGGTAGGTTTTGTTTTCTTCCCTTCTAAGCTATCAGTGAGATGTGAGTGATTGCTGTAACAATTCACAATGTCCTATAAGGAATGCCAAAGGATTTTGTCTCTTGCAGAAATATGATTCAGCAAGAATGCAAAATAAGCCTGGATTGCCAAATTAGATATTAAAAAGCCCAAAGAGCAGCTACTGTAGAGTCTTTGAGGGAATATTGTCCCTTATCATGTTGCTGATCTCATGGTTCAACTTCCTAAGTAAAAAGCCCACTTTTGTGACATCAAAACTGGAGAATAGATTAGAATTTGACAAAACGCCAAAAAAGAGATTTGCTTTGCTGCTGAAAGCTCTTGTTTGCACTGTAAAGGAAAAAGAATTCTGCTTTTGAAATTCAAGCTTTTAAAAAAACTAAGATAAAGCGGGGTTCAAGCAAGGCAGGACCAGAACAGAAGCAGTCCCTGGGAAACACAACCCAGGGGGATTCACATGGCTGAGAGATGGAGCTCTGGAATGTAGAATCCTATTTCCAGTTTTACTTTGTGTTGGAATCCTGACAATTATGGGTTCTGTGTGGATTGAACCCCACAGCTCATCAAGTGTTTTTGTAAGTGCATGTATACATATATGTATTATGGAATCATATAATCGTAGGATAGCTCGAGTTGTAAGGGACCCAGAAGGAACATGGAATGCAACTCCTGGCTCCTCACAGGGCCACTCAATAATCAGACCACATGTCTGAGAGCATTGTCCAGACAAACTTGTATGTAAATGCATCCCTGTTTTTCATTGCACACATGTTGCTCCTTGTGTGTGTACCTGGTCATACACAGCAAAAATCTCAGCATCAGAGAAGCTGCAGAGAACAAAAGTGCAAATGTCTAAATTAATTTGGTTTGGACATTCAAGCAGAATGTGCAGAAATGAGCCTCTCTGTGCATGTTGCATTTAAACACATGCCTTCCAAGGGACACAGAAGAATGACAGGCGTTGGGCTCAGCACGTTTCACCCCTCTGTGTTCTTTGTTCAGGCCACACTGGAGGAAGGATTAATTCATGGCAATTCTGGACAACAGATTGCAATCCATTCATCTCGTTCATTTCTGCCTCTCATGAAAAAAAATTAAAACAATGTCCCCAGCTCAGTGAACAACCCCAGTTCTAAGGAAGAATAAAATGTACCAGCATTCCTCACAAAGCAGTTAAATAGTTGTTTATGGCAAGGTTCTGAGTGCAAGATTAGAACAAGAAGATTGAGTGGCGCTGGAATCAGTCAGAGAGCCACTTCACCATCCTACAGAACCGCAGTGAGCCACACAGTAGAAACACACACACAGTTCAGATGTATGCAGGATTCATAGCAATAGATGCCTCAGCTTCCTGAGCACAGCCTGCAGGATGCAGGAAGTTTTTCCACTTTTCCTGGTAAAATCTGGTTCATAGGCTGGGTATGATTGCTGAAAGCTTGCGTATGTGCAACACTGCTGCTGGAGTCTTTCTGTTTGTGTGTGTTATTTGAGCGATAGAAACTGCCTCTATTTAATATTGTTTACTTTGTATTTCTGGGAAAGCACACTTCTGGATGTTTTGTGTGGCCTTATTTTGCAAGGGGCTATGAAAAGGTGCTGCAAAACTCTAAAGAGAAGCACTGGGAGACTTCTCGTTTGATTAAGAATTTTTATTTTCTATTTCTTTTTCTTGAACCTTTGCACTTTCTTGCAAAGATGACTTGTGGGAGAGAGAACAGGACATGAGGGAAAGAGAGAAGTGTTCCAAGGAATAGGAAAGGAATAGACAAAGAAACTGAATATGTCAGAGGTGTGAGAAGAGCTTGCCATGATAAGGCTTGGATGCTGAGGCAATGTTTGTGAAGGGCACCAGCCTCCTGATTGTGAAGAAAGAGGACTGAGCAGAGAGCAATACATTTGATACTGGGACACTTGCTTCAGAAAAATCCAGTAGCCAGTTGCTCATTATTCAGCAGGCATTGAGAGCTACCCAGACTAGCTCCAGACAAAATAGGAAGTCAACATGACAAGGTAACCCATGGGTAGCTCCAGGATCCTTCAGAAAGTCTGGGTTTGGTACTCTAGTGACCTCATTTGCAACTACCTTCAGTAACTGCCTGCAACATAAGAGGGTATTTTTCAGACTTTATTCTATAAAGTGCCAGAGAGGAGAGGCCTCTAAAGAGAAAGTTGTGGTGCCTTTAGGGCTTAGACTGAGCACAACACCTAGTCTGAACCCAGGTTTCTTCCCAGCTGTATTGGAAAGAGAAAGGAGTCCTGAAGACAGGTGGACAGATGAGACGCTTATAAATGCCATAGGAGAGAATTAAGTACATTTTTGGAGAGAGAACTTATCCCTCAAGGCCGGAGGTGACTCTAACCTTATCTCCCTCTCTTGCAGCTCCCCTGGTGGACCTCACTCCCAGTCACAGTGGTTCAGCAATGTTGATGCTCCTCTCTGTTGTTTTTGTGGGACTAGCTGTGTTTGTAATCTACAAATTCAAAAGGTATGACCTTACCTGGGCCATCTGTTTCTCCCCACTGCTGCCGGGGATTTATTTGCTGGGCTTCCCTTTTCACAGTGATTTGTTTCTTGGTTTGCAAAAGCTAATGCTACATCATCTGCCAGAGTACCCCCCAATGATGGTTTTTGTTAATGTTTTAGGAAGATTCCTGGCCTTAATATATATGCACAGATGCAGAATGAAAAAGATCAAGAGATGGTCAGTCCAGTCAGTCAGAGGGAAAGCATACCTAATGTCCCTCAAAGTGAGCTGATGAGCCCTGAACAACTAGTAGATGAGAAGTTGGATGTCCAGCCCATAGGTAAATAACTTGCAGCAACCCGCAGTTGGTCAGACTCTGACTGATAATTGGCTAACCCTTTTCTCAGTCTTCCCCTTTCCCATCTCCCTGCACACTCCTCCCGCCATCCTCTTCTGCTGCAGTGTTAGCTTTGCTACAGGAAACCTTGCTAACTCTCCCCTCTCCCTCACTGCCCTGTGAAAGGGAGAGAAACAACTTTAGGCTTTTTCCCTCTCCT